CTCTCCCTCCCTCTCTCCCTCTCTCCCTCCCTCCCTCTCTCCCTCTCTCTCCCCACCCTTTTGATCACATCTGCTCCCCATTTCCTCTGCTCCAGTTCCTCCCTGATAACCCCACTTCCCCAATTCCTGTTGCCTCCAACTTCATGTATATATTTTTTTAACCCACTGAGTCTACTTAGTGTTGCCAGTATGTCTAGGTACAGGGTGTCTACTGACATAGATAGCCGCTCAGAGGCCACGTCCTTGAAGAAAACTGACTGTCCCTCATTCTTCTTGATGAGTAACTTTTGTTTCCATGTTTCATTTCTGACACAGCCTTCCCCTCTAAAAAGAGAGTTGTTGTAGGGTAGGCCTTCTGTATCACCATCCCAGGTACTAGAACTTAGATGTCAAGGGAAGGACTTGGGGCCTCTTGGCTATACTCAATATGTCATCCACTAGGAAGTACATCCACTATGTCTTGAGGGACATGTAAAATAATAAATATTTTCTGGATAACACTTATTCCTTGTCAACATTAATTATGAAATAAAGTTTTAGAAGTAATACATTGAACAAAGCATCAGTCTTTTGACTTCTAAACATCACCTTAAAGTCACTTAAAGTCTCACTGGGGAGTGTGACATTGATGTTGGATTTGTTCCTAGATACCACAGATGGAGCCGTTCTCACAATGGAGGCATTTCATGAGATCATCAAAGCCGTTGAAAGACAGTGCGGCTTCTTCCGCCTCCAAGAACAGAGTTTGACAGTAACATCTCAGAACAGATGTTTCCACAATCTCCAAATGTTTTTATTTGGTGGCACAAAAGACTGTTGTTCATGAAATGGTCGGTTAAAGAATTAGTTCCTCTGCGTGGGGGTCGTGGGAATATGTGTTGTGTAAATTGATTTCACTTTTGGCAGGAGACAAGCTCTTAACTCAAGCAGTCTGCAAGGTTGGACTCAGACAAGTTCCAATTTTCAGGCCATAGAGACGCAGAGAATGTAGTAATAACATGGCCTAGCATCTTTCCCTAAGCGTGCCAGATTATCTACTCAGAATGTACCACATTCATTTATAAGAGTAGAAGCTAAGTAAAAAGCACAGAAATTTGGTCTTGTTGAGCACAGTGAGAACGTGGGGAGCCCATGTGGCTGGTTGCTTACACAGTCTCCTTGTGCAAGTTCACTTCTGCAGCTCATGATGGTTGATTTTAGACACCTATTTATAGGGAAAGCTGCTTTTCTGAGAGACTGGCAGCCTGGGCTGTGATTTCATGTCCTCCCAAGGGACCCTGGTGTGACTGTTCAGTGATGTGAAATCAAATCACTGGTCATTTTCACTTCTGGTGTACTGTTTTTCAACTACCCTGAGAAGGCAGACATCAGCAGATATCAGCAGACATCAGCAGACTATGGCACCAGGGCTGCCCTCTGACCTGCTTTTGTAAATCGGGTCTGATTGGATCCCAGCTGCTCTTGTTGCTTGTGTTGTCTGTGGCTGCTTTTGCACTTTGTCACCAGAGACTACTTAACCAGTGAAACTGAAAATATTTACAGAGCAAGTTTGTCAGTCCCTGCAAGAGGAAGTCATGGATGTGCTGTGACCCAGCCACGTGAGGAAAACTTTTCGTTTTATATAATTTTATCAGTGGGGATGCTGAGGCAGGAAAACTGACTGTAGGATACACAGCAAGACCCTGTCTCAAAAAGAAAACCCTAAAAGTAAAGACACTTGATAGGTTTTAGCTATTGGGATTTTGAAGTGATTCAGAGAATATAACAAATATAAATCATTGATTTTAGATAACGTATCATGGGAGAATAGTTAAAATGCACCTGTGCACAGATAACCGCATAAAGAACAATCTGAACGAGAACTCTGAAATGAAAATAAGCCCTTTTTTCTGATGTACAGTGTGTTCCGATATTAAAAGTTGTACTATTTGGCCATATTTGGCTGCCGCCGTATTTGATTCTCTTCCATCTGTGTGTGTTGATTCTTAGTACAGCTTCGGGTGAGCCCTCCATGCTCGCATGTTTCTGGTTTTTCTGAACAAGATAACAAGCACAGGTGAGGCCATGGCACTTTACAGTGACTTCATGGCCATATCTCACACATTTATTTATTTTATTGCTATGCAAATCACATTTGAGATGATTAATCATACAAAAACCATGGACACAGCAGAAGAATAACTCAAGGAAGCTTAAAGAACAAGAAACCACGTTGGGAGAGAATTGAATGGAGGGCATTATGTCAAGAAAGCAAGAACTCAGTGTGTGGTTCAGTGGTGGGGCTCCTGTATGAGGTTCTAGGCTCAATCCTTGTTAATCCCAGTGCTGCGAGGTGGACACAAGCAAATCCCTGGGACAACCAGCCAGGCCTACTTGGTGAGCCCCAAGCCAGTGACAGACCGTCTCATAAACAAGGTAGATGGCACCTGAGAAATGACACACAGTCATCTTCTGGTCGCCACACAAATACACACATACAAAAAACATAACATACTTCTTGATGTTTTATTCAGTCTAGGCCTATTGGCTTAAATAAAATATATTGTTGGAATCAATTTCACATTTTTCTTGTTACTTTTTTAGTGTGGCTACTAGAAAATATATGTAACTCGGAATTTGAGCACCTACCAACCACTTAGTGAATGTTTACAGATCCCACCCCATCTTAGGAAAGGCTTTCTAAGCTATTGATCACAAAATCAAATGAGCTCTTTAATAAACCTGAGCAGATGATATCATTTACAGTTTTTCATGAAACAGTGTCTGGTTTCATGATGATAGCTTGAATTGTGTTCAGCTTCCAAATCTATAATTTCTCATTCACCTAACAAATTGGAAAATATAACTCAGTCACCGGTAGTTGGGGGTGTTGGCAGATATCTGGAACGTCTGCCAGATGTTCTGTCGATCACAAGCCAAGTGAACACATAAATTTAACTCAGTGGACAACTGATTTTGCCCCTGATTCATCCCACCGTACCACTGAGGAATTGTGTCTCATCTTGAAAGATGCTTTCAAATACATCTCTAATCTGTTCATTGCCTAGACTGGCTCCTGAAAAAGTGTTCCCTGAGCTTTTCTAGAGCATCTAGGTGGTATTTTTCAAGGAAGCCATGTTTCTCTATGACTTGAACTAACTCCCTCCATAATCAAAGCTTGACCTCCATCACAGCCTTTGATCCCTACGGTTTCCGTCTCTGCCCTCCCACCCAAGATCTTGTGCCTCCCTTTCCCCACGTCAGGGTCCATGGGCAGGCAGCATGCTCATCCTTTTCATACATCCAGATTCCTCCCTCCCTCTCCCTTCCCATACTCACTGGCAATTTCGCAGCAACAGCCAGATCCAAACCTCTTGGACCAGTCCCTTCACTCCTGAACTTGGCTGGATAAAAATGTGGTTGTGCTCTCTGGTTTCACTTTTAATTTACCACCATGAATCTCAAGTAGGCACTTACTGCTCAGTCATGTTACAGTAGTCACTCTCAGCGGACATTGGAAATCTCTCCTTAACCCTCCTGTGCCTCCTCCTTTTAACCTTGTTCTCAACTGATGGTGGAAGTAAGATTCGAATCAAGAAAAGGGAGCTAGGCCGGGTGTGGTGGCACACGCCTTTAATCCCAGCACTCAGGAGGCAGAGGCAGGTGGATCTCTGAGGTTAATGCCAGCCTGGTCTCCATAGTGAGTTCCAGGCCAGCTGGGGTTATAGGGAGACCCTGTCTCAAAAATAGATGATAGATAGATAGATAGATAGATAGATAGATAGATAGATAGATAGATAGATAGATAGATAGATAGATAGATGATAGATAAACTGAGGGGAGGCTGCCACCAGCTCCCACTGCTGCCTGCTGTGGCTAGAGTGAATCTCCCGTGCCATCTGGAGCTGCCCTTTTCTCTGGTATCAGATACTCCATCCCTGAACTACATCCCCAGTCCTTATTTTATTTTATTTTAAATACTAATTTTAAATACTAAGCCTGCTGCGTCTTAGTTTTAGAATGTAATAGGTTTGTTATTATAACTAAATGACAAGATAACATTACTAAAAATAAAATGAGTATTTATAGAATAGTGAGTTTTTACTTTGAGATCTGATGACACATAGGCATCCACTTGGTGTAATTTTAGACCCCTGATTTTTTTTTAAACCCTCTAAATGTGAACAGAAAAAGTAAAGATGTAAATTATTCAAAATGTGTGCATATTCTAGTTTAACAAAACCTTCTTATGTGAACATTCTTCTTTTAAATGTAATGAATAGGAATCTTCAACAGAGACAAGTTGGCGTAAAGGAAGAAGATACTGTTGCCATGGTGACAGCTGTCCAGTGTAAGCATCTCACATGTCTTCCATTTATCCTGTGTTTTAGGACAATTCAAGCTACTGGAACAAGACCGAGATATAAAGGAGCCAGTGCAGTATTTCAACAGCGTGGAGGAGGTGGCGAAAGCATTTCCTGAGCGTGTGTACGTCATGGAGGAAATAACATTCAATGTGAAGGTAGCGCTTGAAGAAACAAATATTTACCCTCATGGAAGTAATGCAGCTTTCTGTAATCCACAGTGTGTGCACATCTGTGCCTCCCAGGAGCACTCCATCTTCCCACTGAGTCAGTGTCTGCAGCCAGAACAGTGTAGATTGTAGAGCTGACCTGACTTCTATCAACACACCATATTTATTAGCACTGCCTTTTATTAAAACTTAAAACTGTTAGATTTAGAAATAAAATTACTGAATTAGTTATTTTTCTCATTGATGAGACAGAATATCCAACAAAAACAATTTAAGGAAGGCAGAGTGCATTTCGGCTCATGGTTTGAGGGCGCAGTCCTCAGTTTGAGGCCCAGCAGCAGGCGCTTGAGGCAGCTCGAGTTGCACAGGAGCAGAGAGCAATGCATGCTGGTGCTCAGCTTCCCCGCTTGTACTCAGTCTAGGCCCCCAACCCAGGGAACAGTGCCACCCACATTTAGGCTCGGTCTTGCCACCAGTTAACCAATCCAGAAACTTCCTCACAGACATTTCCAGAGCCTTGTCTCCTAGGCAGTTCTAGATCCTGTCAACCTGATAATCAATATTAATCATCACAATTCCTAAGCAGATACGATTTCTTCATTTGGCCTTCATCCCCCAGTGTCTGACAGGTCTGACCAGAGCTATTAAGCTGGGTATACCACTCCTAGCAGCAGAAAACCTATGATGAACCAAGTACCAAACATTTCGTTTTTTAAAAAGAAAAAGGATGGAGGGGCTAATGAACTTGCAGAGCTTACCCTGAGATCAGTGTATGTATGCCATCTATTCTTTGTGGATTGTCTGTTTTGATGTACACAGAGAAAACCGATGTTCAAGAATCCTGCTGGGCGTGGTGGTGCACACCTTTAGTCCCAGCACTCAGGAGGCAGAGGCAGGCAGATCTCTGTGAGTTCCAAGGCCAACCTGGTCTACATAGCAAGTTCTAGGCCAGCTGGGGCTACAGGGAGACCCTGTCTCAAAATGACCACAAAAAAAAAAAAAAAGAGGAGAGAGAGAGAGAAAGAATATCCTGTTCAGGGAAAAGCTAGATGGGGCTGGCCTTGCTTCATTTGTTCTGTGCTCTTAAAGGGACAGCATGCTTCCACGTGTGAGCAAGCTCTTTTGGCCAGATTTGCTGGGAGAGCAAGGCCACTGACCAGATCCAGTACGCACCCACACACCTGCTGTCTTTTGTCGTCAACGCCAGAGTTGACAAGCAGGTTGGAAAGTGCTTCCTATTTATGCAGTTTTCTGCAGGAACTCCAACTAGGTCACATTCTCTATACAAGTCAAAACTTAGGAGTCAAGATTCCTGTTTCTTAGACATATACTCTCTGTGAACAGCAGGCTGTGTGGTGTCTTAGCCCAAGAAAATATCCCTGTGTGGATCACTCTACCTACGCTCCTCAGGAACCACCAGCCAGAGAAGTGGTTCTGCCCATGGCACTGGCAAAACCGAGCCATCCTTCCTCTACTTCTGAAGAATTCCTTGCTGTGTTCTACTCTCCTTATTATTAGACATAGTGAGATTTTATGTTTGTAAAATCTTTTATTTTACTTGCATTTTTTTTTAATTCTCCCAGTGTCCCAGTATGTAAGCCATCAAGTAGCATGCCTCCGTTTCCACGATTTTGAGAGCACCTTCATCATTTGTAAATTACCATAAGACATTAAATCTGTTTTTTTTATTGGTTAGTTTTGTTTGGGGAGTTTTGTGAAGCTGAAGATCACATAAGGGGCCCCAAGCACACTAGTCAAATATGATTGAGCTTTATGCTCCCTGGCCCCAGGAAGCTACATCTGATTCCATGAGTATCTTAGTTTTTTTAAAAATCTTTTAGAAGGAGTTTTTTTTAATGTGTGTACCTATGTGAGTTTATGTGCACCATGTGCATGCAGTGCCCACAGAGGCCAAGGAGGGCATGGAATTACCTGGAGCTAGAGTTACAGACAGTTATTAGCCACCATGTGGGTGCTGAGAACTGAACCTGAGTCCTATGCAAGAGCAGTAAGTACTCTTAACCACTGAGCCATCTCTCTCTTTGGATTTAAATCTTAATATATCTTAAACTGCTCCTTAAAGCTTATATTTAGAATTAGCTAAATGAAAAAGTTTAGAAAGACAAGCTAACACTTTTAAAATCTTTTCTAAAGTGATTTCATCTACCAAGTGATGACAAGTCAAGCATAAAAGCTTTTTATGATGTTTAAGATTTCCTCTCCTATTAAAATTTTAAAGATGCCTCTCTATAGGCTTATTTTTTTAATTTAATATGAAATCAGCAGGGTTTAAAAAGATCACACTGAACCTCATATATTTCAGTAGTTTTTCAAACATGTAAAATACTGTGTTTGCATATATTCATTTAAAAGTATGCACATAGCCGGGTATGGTGTTGCACACCTTTGATGCCAGCACTCGAGAGACAGAGGCAGCCAGATCTCTGTGTGTTCAAGCCCAGCCTGGTCTACATAGCGAGCTCCAGGCCAACTGGGGCTACAGGGAGAGCCTGTCTCAAAAAGACCAAAAAAACAAGTATACACATAGGGGCTGGGGGGATGGCTGAGATAGTAAAGTGCTTGCTTGCTACATAAGCATCAGGACCTCAGTTTGATCCCCAGCACCCACATAAGAGCTGGAGGTGGCAGATAGGATCCTACAATGTAGCCCAGGCTGGCCTTGAACTCAAAGTGATCCTCCTGCCTCCATTTCCCAAGTACTGGGATTATAGGCAAGTACTACCACACCCACCAAGCATTTCTTTTAGCTTAAAATTAATAAGGAAAACTTGTCTTTGAAAGATGCCTTGATGTATTTTAAATATCTGCCTGCTTGCCTCATCATTGATGAACTACCCGGAATGAATTCCTGTGCATTATTTCACTTGTTAACCAGCAGATGTATTTTTAACCCCTGTATGTCGAGGGCTGTACTTAACGAGTATGCAGATGCCTATCTGCATAGAGACAGACTAGTAGGGGAGAAAGGCAGTAAATAAACAAGTATTCATGCCAAATCCAAGTGGAGATGCCTGCACAGATCTGGAAATTGGAGAAAGGTCTAGGCTTGGGGGTTATACACAGGACTTCTCACCCTTGGGAGGTACTTGAAGCATGGACCCAGTTGCATTTACCAACGGTCCTCTGTGATGGATGGTTTTGTTCTGGGGCACATTTGGCAGTATCTGTACTTAGTGTTGATTGTGATGGTATGGGATAGAAGAAGTTCCTGGCATTCAGTGTACAGAAGCCGGAGATGCTCCTGAGCAATCCACAGTACACAGCAACAAAGAATGCCCACTCCAAAATGGCCTGGGTGCCCAGGTTGAGAAACCCTTAGAGAATAGCACACAGGGCTAGACTGAGCTCTGGAACATCCCCACCTTTAGCAGTCTAGAAGAGGAGACAGAAAGGGGCCCATAGAGAGAGAGTGAGTGGACAGCCTGGAGCATGTGGTATCCTCAAAGCTAAGTTTTGAGGAAGAATGAGCAACCGCAGCTGATGGTACTTAGCAAGCAAGGTAAGACTTGGGGATTCCTATGACATTTAGCAGCATGGACATTATCCGTAGCCTTAACAAGAAGGAAAGAGTGCAAAGACCTAGAAGTAAGTTAACAAGGGCAGTGTTAGGGTCGAGGTACAAGTCAAGGGAGATTTCTCAATGACACCTTGTTTCTTCCAACCATCTGGATGACCTTCCTAGATGCCGGTGAAGAGCAGACAGAGCCGTAGTTAGATTGGAGGTGGTACCCAGGAAAGGTAGCCCAGGTCTGCCAACGTGTTCACAGGATGCTGTGGGGTGATGGATGGCACTGGGCTATGGAAAAGGGCTGACTGTGTGAAGAAGTGTGAATAGGAGACATGTAGTCAACAGAACGTGGGAGGTAGGACATTAAGAACATGAAAGGATATGGAGACAGGCAACCTCCTACCAGTCATTAGTGTGTGCAGGCCCTTAAATCTAAAGTCACTGGGCTGAGGGTATAGCTCAGTTGCTGGAGAGTTTGCGTAGCATGTCAAGGCCCTGGGCTTGATCCGCAGTACTATGTAAAACCCACCATATGAAGAGTATCTATGATCCCAGCACTTGGGAGGTGGAGGCAGGAGGATCAGAAGTTTGAGGTTATCATTGGCTACATAGCAAGTTCAAAGCCAGCCTGGGCTACACGAGACCCTCTTTTGAAAACAAACAAAAAGAGCTAAAGGTGTTCTGTGTTTTTTAAAGCTGTTTCACTTGCCCTGTCATAATTTTTTTCCTTTATCTCTCAGTTTTTGTTCTCCATGATGAAAGTTCTGTTTACGTCCTTCTTTTCCTGTTTTTAACTGTAATAGGCTTTTCCTTCTTTTTTCTGTTTTTCACCATCATTTCTATTCTCATGTCTATTTCCAAATTTAGACATCGTCTAATTTCTGAATTGGCCATCTCAAGTGTGTGTGTGTGTGTGTGTGTGTGTGTGTGTGTGTGTGTGTGTGTGTGTGTTCGCTCTTAACTGCTCAGGTGTCTCTATAGCCCCTCCTCTGCCTTTTAATAATAAAAACAGCCACAACTGAGGCTGGTGAGGTAACTCAGTTGCAAAGGACCCAAGTTCAGTTCCCAACACCCTCATCAATTGCCGGGGGTTCGTACCAGCCCGGGCAGTGATGATTGGAGATGAGTAAGTGCGCCTTTCGCCAGCCCACACCGCCCCCAGTACCGGAACACTCAGGTGCAACAGGGAGCCTAGTAAAGCAGGGACTCATTTATTGCAGGTGTTACAGAGCTTATAAAGGCACCTGGAAATCCCCCCTCCCCCCTGAAGGTGTATCTTAAGGATGGTCATGTGCTGATCATGCACTCCTCAGCAAAGCTGAAGTATTCTTCAGACTTTCAAAGCAAGTCAGGCCGCACCCCAGTAACTTCCTCTCGAACTTCTGCAAGGTGGGGCCTTTAGATCCCCACAATCAATCAGTTCACAAACACCTGTAACTCTAGCTCTAGGGGATCTAAC